TTATGAGAATAGTTTTTTACATTTTAGACATGGGGTGCCTTGAGATTGTGCAGAATGTTAAAGGGTGCCTTGAGATAGTCCATTAATTATAAGGGTGCCTTGACTGAGTAGCAGCCTAGGATAAGTCAGCCTGGGGAGTGAGGCATGTAGTATACTATGTGAAATAAATAGATTTTGTGTGTGTGTGTGTGTGTGTGTGTGTGTATAGAGAGAGATATTGATTATATATGACAACGAGGTAGTGAGGTCACCACAGAACAGGCTGGGAGGCTCTATTAGGTCAGGGCTTCTGGAGCCCTCACACCTCTTCGGAAACCTGAGAGCTTTCTAGGAGAGGGGTGGAGGGGAGGAAGCCCAGATCTGCATGTCTGAGGGACCATGGCCAATCCCCTGGCAGGAGGCTGGGCATGGTGACCAGGGCAACCCTCAAATGTGGCAGAGCCTGGGGGGGTGGGGTTCAGTGTCAGGGTGGAAGTTGGATTGAGGAAGGCTGGAGTGTGGATCCTGGGAGGGGAGCCTACCTACAGGCAGGTCGCTGGAGAAGAGGATCTCCACTGCCTCAACATCACCTGCAGGGGAAGTGAAGGAGCCAGCCCAGAATAAGGCCTGAAGGCAGCCACCAAGCTAATAGGAGGACAGTGTGAGTATATTCTTATACCCCCTGGGCCGGATAAGGGGAGAGGGCAGTCAAGTGCAAGATCCAACTAACTTCTGATCTGGGACTGTTCTAAATTAACAGCTCCTGGGGCCCCCTTGTCCAGGGAATACCCTCAGATGGGTGAAGAGAAATTATCCAGAGTATGAGCAGGTACACCAAAGAGTCTTTGGTGCTCTTCAAGGAAAGACTGTTGCTATCCACATTTTTGTACATTGCGAAGGAGTTTGTCCTCAAGTTCTGCAGTTTCTCGGGCATCCCATATACCTCTAGATCCCATCCAAGTTCTTAACCCCTTAATAAAAATACAAACCCAAGCTCAAGGACTGTTCTTTGACGTCAGTGTTCAAAGTGTGGGAAATGCTTGTTGCATGCCCTTGCAGAGCATAGGAGGACCCAAATCAAATCCAGTGGCCCTTACGAGGGTAGTTGCTACAGTTGTATTATATATGTCTTTTATTTCTGCCTTTAGTTTAGCTTTAAGGTGGACTTTAGACCTAGCACTGCAAGGCAAGTGCTAAATTGGCCACCCTGTCCAGTTTAGTCTTATATCTATCCGTTTTTTTTTTTTTTTTTTTTTAATTAACTAACGTGTTTTTGCCGTCTTCATTGCCATAACAAATGGAGCCAATCTATTGCAGCGGGATTACCAAGTGTATGTATGTATGTATGTGCATGTGTGTGTGTATGTGTGTGTGTGTATGTATGTATGTATGTATGTGTATATATATATATATATATATATATATATATATATATATATATATATTTATAAATATCAGTGGGGATCGAAAGTTTGGGCACCCCAGCTAAAAATTTGTATTAATGTGCATAAAGAAGCCAAGGAAAGATGGAAAAATCTCCAAAAGGAATCAAATTACAGATTAGACATTCTTATAATATGTCAACAAAAGTTAGATTTTATTTCCATCATTTACACTTTCAAAATAACAGAAAACAAAAAAATGGCTTCTGCAAACGTTTGGGCACCCTGCAGAGTTAATATCTTGTACTGCCCCCTTTGGCAAGTATCACAGCTTGTAAACGCTTTTTGTAGCCAGCCAAGAGTCTTTCAATTCTTGTTTGAGGTATCTTTGCCCATTCTTCCTTACAAAAGTCTTCCAGTTCTTTGAGATTTCTGGGCTGTCTGTCAGGCACTGCTCTTTTAAGGTCTATCCATAGATTTTCAATTATGTTGAGGTCAGGAGATTGTGAAGGCCATGGCAAAACCTTCAGTTTACGCCTCTTGATGTAATCCCCTGTGGATTTCGAGGTGTGTTTAGGATCATTATCCATATGTAGAAGCCATCCTCTCTTTAACTTCAGCTTTTTCACAGATGGCATCAAGTTACCATCCAAAATTTGCTGAAATTTTATTGAATCCATTTTTCCTTCTACTCGTGAGATGTTCCCTGTGCCACTGGCTGCAACACAACCCCAAAGCATGATTGATCCAACCCCATGCTTAACAGTTGGACAGAGGTTCTTTTCATTAAATTCTGTGCCCCTTCTTCTCCAAACGTACCTTTGCTCATTCCAGCCAAAAAGTTCAATTTTAACCTCATCGGTCCACAGAACTTGTTTCCAAGATGCATCAGGCTTGTCTATATGTTCATTTGCAAAGTTCAAACGATGATTTTTGTGGTGAGGACGTAGAAGAGGTTTTCTTCTGATGACTCTTCCATGAAGACCATATTTGTACAAGTATCTCTTTATAGTGGAATAGTGTACCACAACTCCAGTGTCTGCCAGATCTTTTTGGAGGGATCGTGCAGTCAAACGTGGGTTTTGAATTGTTTTTCTCACAATCCTGCGAGTTGTTCTGTCTGATATTTTTCTTGGTCTTCCATATCTTGCTTTAGCTTCCACTGTTCCTGATGACTGCCATTTCTTAATTACATTCTGAACAGAGGATATTGACATCTGAAAACGCTTTACTATCTTCTTATAGCCTTCTCCAGCTTTGTGAGCGTCAACTATTTTCAGTTTCAGTTTTCTAGACAACTGCTTAGAAGAACCCATGGTGCTGATTGTTGGGGCAAGGTCAGATGAGTCTGGGCATTTAAAACCTTTGAGCTTGACATCACCTGGTCTTCCCAGACGATGATTGAGAACAATCCATGACACTGGCAGGTCTCAGCTTTGCAAACGGGGCAGTGCATGCTATAAATTCTGCAGGGTGCCCAAACTTTTGCAGATGCCATTTTTTTGTTTTCTGTGATTTTGAAAGTGTAAATGATGGAAATAAAATCTAACTTTTATTGACATATTATAAGAATGTCTAATCTGTAATTTGATGCCTTTTGGAGATTTTTCCATCTTTCCTTGGCTTCTTTATGCACATTAATACAAATTTTTAGCTGGGGTGCCCAAACTTTCGATTCCCCACTGTATGTATAAAATTTTTGTGATATGACCCTGTTAGTTGAATTTGTAATGACCACTAGAGCAGCTAATTACATTTTTAGTGCAAAAACTCAACACTAGAAAACAAAAAAAGATATACAGAGCTAGAAGAGATAGAGAAGGGTTGTATATTGGGGTTGTCCTGAAATGTTGGGGGTTGTTTAAACATACTGATTTCTTGAAATATCTTCTGAAGTGTTTTGGTGTCTGGGCTACATGGAGGTTTACATATTCTCCCGGTGTTTTCTCACAAGCTCTTTTTCCTTCCTAGAACTTGAGCTCGTATGATGTGTGCAGTCTACTTCTTGGATCATTCGACCTTGCTTGTTTGGGTTGGCGTTATTCGGTATCTAGGCTACTTCCAAAAATATAATGTGAGTGCGTCTCGTCTGGATATTGACAGGTTTACTGATAAGTTATAAGGTCATCACGTTACTGCATGCTTCATTTCTTTATTATGTCTCCTCTCCAGGTTCTCATATTAACCATGCAGGCGTCATTACCCAAAGTCTTACGATTTTGCTGCTGTGCAGGAATGATCTACCTCGGGTATACCTTCTGTGGCTGGATTGTGCTAGGACCATACCATGAGAAGGTATAGGGGAGCCGCCTCCTTTTTTTTTCTTTTTTTTTTTTTTTCCCCCATTTACCTTGTGCATTTTCAGTCTCCACCTTGTGTCTTATTGGTTTGTCCTGTGCAATTTAATGAGATATTGTAGCATGGAAAGATCAGTCTTGTATGACATTCCAAAATATTTGCATTTATTGCACCATTGCTAAGTCTGCAGTCAACCACCAGTGCTTTTTAATGGTACAAATGAGCAATTATTTGGGCAGTTTATTTTCCCTGAAGTTCAGAATTGCAATTATTGTCATAATGTAAAGTACCAATATACTATACGCCCCCCCCCCCACCCAAAAAAAAAAAAAGCAATCCACTTTTTTTGGTCCTTTTAGAATTATCTAGACAATGTCCTCAGTAGACCTAATGTAGCCCACTGTTGGAGTTTGATATGCCTGATTCAAAGAAACATGTATTTCAAAAAATACAAAAGCTGTTTCCTGTTTTGATGGAATCACTTTTGGCTTTAGGACTCTTGGCCATGGACAGCTCTTAAATCGGAACTGTACTACCATCCACACTGATGGCATTTTTGGCAGCTACAGCTCTGTTTGCTCTCCTCCACTGTTGACAGTTGAATTAGTTTCAGTGCTGGCCCTTGCTGCTCCATTGACTAGGTGCTCTTTTAACGGTAAACGAGTAGGTCCGTGACCTCTTTTAGCTAACCCTGCTTTGTATGTATATGTGTATATCTTCATGGATATATTTTTATATTGGACTAAACTGTATCTGTAGGCATTAGATGACCAATGCATTCATGTTTATGTCCTGGAGCAGGGAGAATCGTGCATATCAAGAATTTAATTACTGGCTTCTCTAATGTGTGTGGTGAGGGGGAAAAAAACAGGAAATTGCCAAGCGCCGTCTGCAAACATCCATAGATAATCAGACCTTGGTAGGACTGGGTGATGATCATCTCATGGCAATGGTCATCTGTAGCACTTTTTACAATGGGTAATTGCAGGGTGCTTTCATTAGGATCCGTTTTGGAAGCTTCAGGGCTCATTCACGCTAGCTGCTGCGTTGCAACATGGTGGGGCTGAGAGCAATGCAGTGATGATACGCTGAGCTCAGCTTTTTTTTTTTTTTTTTTTTTTTTTTTAAACTTTATTTGAACTGTCACAGACTTCTCATAAAGTTCAACTGCCAGCTAGCAGTGGATTGCTTTGCAATACTTTTTTTTTTTTTTTTTCATTTCAGAGCACCTTGCCTGCACACCCCTGCAAAACAGTGGTGTGAACCAGGCACATAAGAGACAAGGCATTTTACCTTGCCCATGTGGTGGGACTGTGCTGGAGTAACCACCCAAAGTCCCACTGCATGTGGAGTGCTGCATGTGGAGTGTACATACCTTTAGTTTTTAAAACATATGCTTGACCTACAGTCAGGGGCGGACAGACCATTTCGGGCAATGCCCGAGGGCCCAGGGTCAGTAGGGGGCCCCATGAGATGCCCCTGGTACCTTTTTTCATAGGCTTTTTTGAGTTTGGGCAAGGACACAGGGACCCCTTGATCCCCTATTGCCCGGGGGGCTCCATGAGTTGTCAGTCCGCCCCTGCCTACAGTTGACTTTTTTCTGTCCGACTTTTGACCTCGTTCCTAAGTAGCATCATCCTCCATCAAGCTGCTTTTAAATTCCCATTGAATTATATGAGAAAGAAAGGGGTTCTGTTGCATCAAAACACATTAATATGTGTACATCCCACAGGAATCTTTGTTCTAGACCATTCTATACCTTATTGTGCCTACCATGTTAGATGAAAAGTGCTGCACTATGACCATTTCTCTATGTGCCTTCACCCCCTGTGCTTATCACAGAAGATAACAGCATTGAAGTATTAAATGGTCTGTAATGAAGGAAAAGAAGATGTGTGATACACCCAAATCCCCACTGTGTATTCCCAGTAGACCAGTAAATGGTGTGCTACATAATATCTCCTGTCCATTAGTCCTTAATTAGATTCTGCACTTTGAGTGTCTAATTCTTCTAATCCAATCTCCTGACATCTAATGATCTATACATTTCCTCAGCTCACCTAGTATACAGATTTATGCTAAGAGCCATTTCGCATGGACATTTTGGAGAAGAATGGTCTTTAATGCGGCACTGGAGCCAAGATGCACCCTAATGCAATAGTATAGAAAGTGATTCTGTGGTTTGTCAGGTTGAGGGAAGAACTCCCTTTGGAGTATTTTCTGACAACTTGTAATGGTTGTACTTGTGCATATTTAATAATGCAATACACCTCGCCCATACAAAAGGCAGTTGAGAATGTATCGCAATACGAATGTATCACAATTGTTTTATTTCCAGTGCCATGTCTTTTTTTGCATAAGTCGCGGGGTGTTAATTTTTTTTTTTTTGTCCTGTATTCATGCACTCAGTCCAGTAACACAGTAGACACATTTTAAGCAAATGAAATTGCAAAACGCTTTTGGTTTTCATAAGGGGAAAGAATGGAAGACAGATCAGTGAAATACCATCATGCAACACAAGTTTATCACATTATAATGCACAATAATGAAGTTTAACTGAAAACCGCACAAAAACCAAATGCAGTTGTGCAAATGTGTCAGTAGGCCTAAGCAGCTTTACACCATAGTTGAATTGATAGACTAGCTTCCCTATTCCACTCTCCTCGCTTTTCTGATGAAAACTGTAAGCTACCTTACACAGACCTATACTACACAACATCAGGGCTGTCCTCTCAGTCAAGGACAAAATGGGAACTTTTTGGCTTGGACAAACAGACCAACAAGCCCTTTAATGGTAGACAGAGATTTCTATGGGCTAAATGAAGTGTGTCATTCAGTGGTGCCATTTTGATTGTTGATCACAGTGAAAGGTTGTTATTCCTAAAGGATGTATTTTTTTTGGGACACACCTTCCAGGATCAGCTTCCTTTGCAGCTCTCGGCATTTAACCATATGACGTCAGAGCTACAAAAGAAGCTGGTGGTGGAAGACTTCTCTCTGCCAAATGCTGCGATAACAAGTCTGAACAGGGAGACGTAGCTTTGTAATGCCCAGCATGTCTAAGTGGCTTGTGGTCACTATGACCTATCTTTGAAAGGTAAGGTATCTATGAGCCCAGCATATGTTATTAGTACTGGCCCTTCTACCCCCCTGCCCGGTCCTCCTCTGCTCTTCATATTGCTAAGATTAACACTGCAGTGGCACTTACTGAAAATACATTGTACTTTCAGTTTAGTGCATTGTGGCAGATCTGCTGATAAGGCAGTATGGCTGGTCCTCCTGTACCGGGCCCAAGCCCCATCAATTCAGAAGGGGGGTCCTGGGCTGGAGGACCAGCTATACTGCCTTCTTGCTGACTCTTGTGCCTCCCACTGCAGCACTTTCACTGCAGCACTTTCAGCTTCTCCTCCTTTTTTTTTTTTTTTTTTTTTTTCCTTTTTTGCTGCGGTGCAGGGGGGATTGGTATCTGTCTCTAAAAAAAAAATATATAGTGCAATAAATTGCTCTATGGTCTATACAGATTAAATGGGTATAACCCACATAAGCAGCCAACACAGTATTGCAGGTTACAATACATAGTAGCGCTGCACTTTATTCTTTTTCTAAGTTGACCTGGATAATGGTCAAGGAACGTTTGACGGCTATTCTTCAACAGGATGGTATATTTTGAAAAAACCTGGGAACCTTGGATGCAATATCTTTCAGCATCATCCTAGGATGGAGCATACTTAACATGGGATGTTGATAAACATAAACCGTCTTGCCCCCTGTGCCCGACTGTTGGTCGGACCCTTCTTCAACAAACGTCTTTTTGTTTCTTCCTTTTTTTTTCCTTCCCCTATCTCTATTCTCACTCTTCCCTTTCTATTTTAACCTGCCTCCTCTTTCCCTTCCCTGGATTTGAAAATCTTACATCTACAGGTCCCTAAGGGACCCTTTTGGTTACCATCAACAGAGATTTATTTTTCTTATTGAAACATTGTATTTTGTGCATTGCCTGTTCTGGCCCAAATGGGCTGCAGTTTGGATGGGATGGAGGTGGGGGGGGGGGCATAGATGTTTATCTTCTCTGTACTGATTTGTCATTTCTGAATAAACACTATTGGAAAACAAAAGTGCAGCGCTAGATTTAAACTTCCAAGGACATACTAAATATAACAAAGTCCAATCCAAAAGACTTTGACGTGTGGAAGAAAAGTTCATCGATCAAGGATCCAATAGATTTCCGAGAGGTCACCAAGAGGGAAAACTCCTTCACCAACACCAATCACACTGCCTCTTACCAGATAATGTTGACCCCCAAAAAGGAAAGGTCAATACACGCTGTGTGCTTCCTGAAGTCAACAATGAACTTGTACACTTTAAGATTCCTGGCCTTCAATGCAGAGTGATTTTGGGATGGACCTAAAATAAATATTATCCTGTCAGTGGTCAGATTGTTATGGGTAATTGGTATACAGTCCATACACACACAGCACAAGGCCGGGGGTCACACTACCAGACGTTTCTCGGGGCTGCAGTTCCTCTGAGCTGCAGAAGATGGTGACCTCACTTCTACCCAGACAGGAAATCTATATGGTATCTGATTGGTATCTGTGCCCCCCACCCCCCACTTACCTGCTGTACAGGCCCTCCCATGTGCCCCCTTTCTCTTCAGCGCTGCCAGCCTCCTTCCTCTCCTCTCTAACTGACTGCTACTGCAGGCACACAGGATTTTTTTTCAAGAGGAGAGCGGGGAAGGGGGCGGCAAAGTGAGTGATCAGTACCAATAGCTCTTGTATCCATTAATCACTGAAGCATAGTATACTGTGTTTACTATGCTTCAGTTTGAGAATAAAAAGGAAACCTTAGAGAACGTCCCATTCATTCACTTTCCAGCATTAGCTGAGGCTGCAGAGAAAGGAACTGACTAGTCTGTCTTCCATCCCTTTTCTCTGTCTCTAATGTGAGACATCAGTGGGCTGATATTTCACTAAAGCCCCCCAAACAGGGCATTAAAAAAATTTAAAAATGAAAATTCTAAAAAAACTAATTTGAAAAAGTTAATGTATAACGTCAAAAAACTTTTTTTTTTTTTTTTTTTTTCAGTTTTTGATTGTTTTAGAGTGGAGAGGGATTAGAACACCTGTCAGTTGTTGTTCCTGTCTGTGTCCCTGTCAAGGAGATTCACCCTCTCTATTTGCCCTGTTTACCATTAGCATTGAAAGTTTAAAAAAAAAAAAAATGCCAAATTTTGGGTTGTCCCCTAAAAAGTAAGAGGGGAAATCTTCCAATGGGGACACTAGTTCTGATGGCTGGGGGGGGGAGTCCCCAAGAATTTTCCTTTATTAGCAGGGATTTCCTCTCACTTCCTGTTTTGGCTGTAGGACAGGAAGCAATGGGAAGTTTCCACCATGGAACTGACAAGGGTTACAACCCTCTTGTTCTCTATCAAAAATGGAAAAAAAAAATAATGGCTATTTTTTTTTTTTTATGTATTTATTTCAGGTACTTATATAGCGCCGTAAATTTACGCAGCGCTTTACACATATATATATATATATATATATATATATATATATATATATATATATTGTACATTCGCAACAGTCCCTAACCCTCAAGGAGCGTACAGTCTAAGGTCCCTAACTCACATTCATACATACACATACTAGGGACAATTTAGACAGGATCTAATTAACCTACCAGCAGGTCTTTGGAGTGTAGGAGGAAACCGGAGTACCCGGAGGAAATCCATGCAGGTGCAGGGAGAACATGCAAACTCCAGACAGGTGGTGCCGTGGCTGGGATTCAAACCAACGACCCTGGTGCTGCCAGGCGGAAATGCTAACCATTTAGCCACTGTGCTGCCCCCATTTTAAGGACTTGTTCAAATGTTATTTGCTCTCTGAAGAGCAGTCAACATTTGATAGGCTCTTCAGAAAGCATTTGACAGGCAGTGATGAGGCATGTTGCCTCCTCACCGCCTGCTTTAACCCCACACTAGCGCACTGCAACTGCGTACTTTGCGCGTGGTTGCAGGGCACTTGTAGAGCAGTGCTGTTCATCTAAATGGGTCTTGTTCAATGGGGGGTATATTTTTGCCATGGCTGACCTGCATAGTATTGCAGCCATGGCACTTTAGCAAAAATATCTTTTGATCATTTGAAATTTGTTCGGGGGGGAGGAGCCCTGTCAGGTAGTCTGTATGGGGCCCCATCATTTCTAACAGCAGCCCTGTCTTGTCTTGTGCTTGAAGATAATTGGGGATCCAATCCATGTAGAATGTATGAGTACTTATCACAAATGTTTTTTTTTTTCCATAGTTTGAAGATTTGAACACCGTAGCCGAATGCCTCTTCTCGTTGCTCAATGGTGATGACATGTTCGCCACATTTGCGCAGATCCAGCAGAAGAGCACCTTCGTGTGGCTGTTTAGCAGACTGTACCTCTACTCCTTCATCAGCCTATTCATCTACATGATTCTCAGCCTGTTTATTGCACTGATCACTGACTCCTATGAAACCATTAAGGTGAAATTGGAAAAGTGTTTTATCTTCATGCCAGAAAAGTTAAATTAAGCGGAGGAAATTTGGG